TTTTATTTGCTTTAAATCCAGCAACTCTAACTATAAAGTCACTCCTGACCACCCTCTCCACAAACCCAGGACTTGGAGGTTCTGCTGAATTTCTAGCATGATTCACCTGTGCCTCTATTTGACACTTAGCTTATTTTGCATGTGTTTCTATCAGTTTTTAGCTTCCCTGGCGGCTCACATGGAAGGAATCTGCCTGCAATGAAGGAGACCAGGGTTCGATCCCTGGGTTGGGAAGATCCTCTGGAAAAGGGAATGGCAACCCATTCCAGTATTCTTGTCTAGAGAATTCCATGGACAGAGGAGCCTGGTGGGCTACAGTCCATGGGGTCGCAAAGAGTCAGATATAACTGAGCAACTAACACATTCAGTTTCACACTATCGCTTTTTACATCTGTATACTTCACTTCCCTGACTTGAAAGCTCGTTAAGAATGAGGACACATATATTATATCTCTTTGTAATTTCATAATGCCTCACAGAAACTGTTGACCATGGATAGTGACCATAAACACTTTTTAATTGAGAGACATTCAAAATCAATGAACAAAATAGCCAACAGTGATTCACAAAGCAACTGCCTTCTGTTCCATTCAGGACTATGCTGTAAATTAGTTTATAAATTAGTAAGATGCAACATTTGCCTTTAAAGAGCTTAGTTTAGTAAACAAAAAGTACACATCAAAAGTAGGAATGAAGGAGTCTTGTTCAGTTGCTAAGTCATCTCCAACTCTTTGCAACCCCATGGACTATAGCCCACCAGCTTCCTCTGTCCAAGGGATTCTCCAGGCAAAGATACTGGAATGAGTTGCCGTTTCCTCCCTGAGGGGATCTCTCTGACCCAGGGATCAAACCCAGTGTCTTTTATGTCTCCTGCATTGGTAGGCAGGTTATTTACCACTAGCACCACCTGGAAAGCCCAGAGTTTGCTCTAATTATGTCCACTGAGTCAGAGATGCTATCTTTATCTCATTCTCTACCACCCCATTCTCCTGCCTTCAATCTTTCCCAGCATCAGGGTCTTTTCCAATGAGTCGGCTTTTTGCATCAGGTGGCCAAAGTACTGGAGCTTCAGCTTCAGCATCAGTCCTTCCAGTGAAGGAGCCTAAGCAGTATATAATCAAGTAGAACAATATAATAAAGATTAGGTATTACAGCCTACTAAGGACAATAGGAGATCAATGTGGATAGCAGCCCTAAGAGAGGGAAACAGTAAGAAGCAGGGATCTGAATTGAGATTCAGATCTTAGGAAGGATATAGATGAGAGGAGAGGATTAGAAAGGGCAGTGTCACCTGGGGAAAAGTGGGTAATGGAGCCAGGGAGGAAGAGACCCTTCTTCACAGTCTGCCTTTGCTACTTGGCAACCATCAGAATTTGCTTGGGCTGTGGTTTCAACTGACGTTAAGGGGTTCCCTAGGATTCAGAGCGGAGAAGGCAATGGCACCCCACTCCAGTACTCTTGCCTGGGAAATCCCATGGACGGAGAAGTCTGGTGGGCTGCAGTCCATGGGTTCGCAAAGAGTTAGACACGACTGAACGACTTCACTTTCACTTTTCACTTTCATGCATTGGAGAAGGAAATGGCAGCCCGCTCCAGTGATCTTGCCTGGAGAATCCCAGGGACAGGGGAGCCTGGTGGGCTGCCGTCTATGGAGTCGCCCAGAGTCGGACACGACTGAAGCGACTTAGCAGCAGCAGCAGCAGCAGGATTCAGAGCAACTATAGGAGTGAAACTCTACGCCATATTTATGGCTAGACAGAGTCAATCATGCCATATAGAGTCACAGGTCCTGATTTTTAGAAATAATCAAAGTGCACTGCCATGTGTAAAACAGATAGCTAGTGGGAACCTACTATATACAGCAGGGAGCTCATTGGTGCTCTGTGATGACCTAGATGGGGGTGAGAGGGAGGACCAAAAGGGAGGGGATATCTATATAGATATAGCTGATTCACTTAATTTTACAGTAGAAACTAGCAACATTTTAAAGCTACTATACCCCAGAGAAAAAGAAGGATGGTAAGAAATCACCCACAAACTGGGGCTGTCCCCAGACCACCTCAGAGAAGAAAGAACAAATGGTTCTATCAGTCACAGTTATACATTACACATGGGCGCCAAACGTATTGGTTCCTGACAACGTGTACACCCATATCAAGTACAGTTAGAGCAGTGAGTGACCTTACTGAAAATTAGTGAACTGCATTTCCATGGAACTAAGGACTGATGGTGAGGAGTATTTTCTTTTGCAGAAAATCTTTTTCTTCTACACCTTTAATCTGTTACCATTATAAGAAGGAAAGTCTTTTTTTTTTAATTTGAAGTATAGTTGATTTACAATATTGTGTTAGTTTCAGGTATACAACAATGTGATTCCATTATATTTTTTCACATTACTTTCCATTATAGATTATTATAAGATATTGAATATTGTTCCCTGTGCCATTCAGCAAAGCCTTGTTGCTTATCTATCGTAGGTGTAGTAGTTTGTACCTGTTAATCCCATACTTATAATTTACACCTGCCCCCAATTCCTTTCCACTCTGGTAACTGTAAGTTTGTTTTCTATGCCTATGAGACTGTTTCTGTTTTATATATAGATTCATTTGTATTATTTTTTAAGTTCCACATATAAGTGATATCATATAATATTTGTCTTTCTCTGACTTAGTTTGATACTCTCTAGGTCCATCTATGTTGCTGAAAATGGCAATATATCATTCTTTTTTATTATATATATAATATATATTATCAGGATAATGTAGTACATGTATATATATAGTTGATGGGAACTTGGGTTGTTTCTATGCCTTGGCTATTATGAATAGTGTGGCTATGAACTTTGGGAGGCATATATCTTTCCAATTAGAGTTTTCATCTTTTCCAAATATATGCCCAGGAGAGGGATTGCTGGATCATATGGTAGTTCTTTTTTTTTCTTTTTTTTTTAAGGAAACTCCATACATACCGTTTTCTACAGTGGCTGCTCTAGTTTACATCCCCACCAACAATGTAGGAGGGTTCCCTTTCCTAGACAAAATATCTTTTATTTTGGTTTTGGATTGTCCTTCCTTAATAAGGTTGATATTTTTAATATGTACTTCTAATACATGCTTAATTTTGCAAAGTATTTCAGATACCATATAGCATCCTTTTACTAAAAGACTTACAAACTACAAAGCTTTGCTGTTTGGTTTTAATCAGCTCATGGAATTACACACATTGAACCTCAGAATGTTCTCATGTGATATTTTGATTCACACTGAACATCCATGTGAAGATTGACTTGAACCTTTATAAGGGACATAATTTTATTAACTAAATAGACACATAAGACAAAGAAATACAGTTTCAGCCTTCTAAAATTCCAAAGGCATTCAATAAAATCTCTGAGAATGGGTATTAGCAGAGCTGTTTTGGTACAAGGCAAATTGTGTTGCTTATTTTAAGGAAATAAGCTAAATAGGGAAGGAGATTCTCTTAGAGAGAGGCTCAAGGTGTGTTAGGTTGAACCATATGCAACATGGCAATATTTGACCTTTGTGTGCAGTTCACAGGACTTCCCTGGCGACTCAGATGGTAAAGAATCACCTGCAATGCAGGAGATCCAGGTTCTATCCCTGGTTTGGGGAGATCCCCCAGAGAAGGGAATGGCTACCCACTCCAGTATTCTTGCCTGGACAATTTCACAAGCATGTCCAGCCCTCTTAACATACTAAAGCTCATCTTGAAAGTAGAGCTAGAAACCTCTTAGCAATTTTAAGACCTTGATTTACTACATTTTATCAAGACCCCAACATGGTCACTAGTCATATATGACTTCAGCCTCCGTGGTCCATTTCATTTGCAAAATTGATGGTAAGGTGGGTGGACAGTTGACTAAATGATCTCTTAGAACCTTCCCAACCTAAATTTGTGTATCTCTAAAGCATCCAGATATTGAATCTATTTCCTTCTGACTAACCACAGATGCGCCTGGCAATAATGCCCAAACAATCTTCTGCTAGTTCTCACCTTCCCAAGGCACTCGTCTCCCATGGGATGCATAACCATCAGAAGACCCTGCCAAGAGGCACTAGGTCCCTGTGAGGTTCAATATGTTAGGACCTCACCATCTGTTTATATGTTCTCATAAGTTAGTGAACAAAATCTCTCTATGACTCTTCTTTCATTTTCCTTAATTGATTATTCTTGAGAATTAAGAATCAACAAAGGTTAGAGAATCCCACCTCCTTATCCCCGTCTGTTGTCTCAGTGATGGCCAACAGTGATAAGAGGCCCCCATGGTCACCTAGGCAGAAGGCTTCTTGAGAGGAAAAGGGAAACATGAAATAGGGGTTGGGAGGGGTTAAGGAGGAAGGAGGTCTGAATCCCTGCAGCTGCTTGGCATCCAAACTGAGTGTGCAGAGAGGAAGGGAGATCCTTATCAGATCTCCAGTCCAAGTTTGTTGTTGTGTAGAAAGAGGAAGATAAATGAAACTGCACTTGGGGATGTAGAGAAGGCAGCACACTGGTCCCTGGAAGATGTACTTGTGTATCAGTTATCCTGATGAGTTCTCTGCCTCTTCCCAAATGAATGTGGCCATTCAGATTTAACAAAACATACCTCCTAAAACTGACTTACATACAACAGACATGTGCACACATGTATATAATGAACCTATCTCTGTCTATTTTGTCTGTTTCCATTTCCTCCATATCTTTCCTGTCTCTCCCTCCTACCTTGCTGGATCTCAATTCCTTCTACCTTCCTTTCTTTCTCTAGCTCCCTTCCCCTCACTTCTTGCCTAACCTGCAGTAATTTGCATTTTATGTCATCTGTAATAAGAAATACGCACCCCAGAGTTCTGTTTCCATCAAATTTGTGAAAGAGAGTCCCTGCCAACTTTCATTCTACAAGAGGCTATAACAATTATTCAGGTGAAATGAAGCATTCAGAGGAAATTCAGGAAATGAGACATGCTAATCTTGAGCTGTTTGTTTCAGCCTACAAGGAAAAAATGAAGGAACTGTCCATGCTGTCCTTGATCTGCTCTTGCTTCTACCCGGAACCTCGCAACATCAACATCTATACTTACGATGGTGAGTTGCCTACAAAATGCCCCCGCTGGCTGAACCAGCCTAAAAAGCTTGGATGTGGTTGCTTCTCTCTCACAGCTCCTCATATAATGAAATCAATATTTTGTAGATCTTGCTATTGACTTGCCGGGTCTAGCTAATGGGTCTTATTGATTGCTATTTGCTGAAAACAGTATGAGTTTGATGCTAATAACAGCACACTAATGTCTTTTAAGAAAGATGGCTGAGCTGTTATTAGCCATCTTATCCAACATATCAACATCCACAATATGTTCAAAGCTTCTCTTTGCAAATAACATAATACACTAAGCTATAATTAGAGAAGATCATAGTTTGCAAAAAAATGCTTTATAGTTAGAAAACTCAGGAAAGAAAATCAGCCACCAACAGTTTATGCTTTAATGTAGTCTTTATAAAGGTTTCTCAGGTGGCACTCGTGCCAATGCAGGAGACATAAGAGACATGGGTTTGATTCCTGGGTTGGGAAGATCCCCTGGAGAAGGACATGGCAACTCACTCCAGTATTATTGCCTGGAGTATTATTGCTCCTCTGGCCATGGAAATCCCGTGGACAGAGGAGCCTTGTGGTCTACAGTCCACAGCATGACAAAGAGTCAGACACGACAGAAAGAACTTAGTACACACAGTCTTTATAAAATCCCCGTATTTTCTGTATGCATCTCAAAACCTAATATGTTCCAGTAATAAAACTGACTTATGACTGAAGTCCAGATAAAGAGGATTTTAAATGAAAATCCTGAATGATTGGCATAGCTGTGAACCTTATTTTGCAGTGAAAACCTTTTGGTTTGATTTATCCTGGTTCATTCTGCTTAGTTTGATGACCATGCCACTATCTGCCTGACCTTGGGCAGGTGAATCAGATTCTTTGAGCCTTATTTAACTCTAGTATCTTCCTACCAGTGTTTTTGTGGAGTTTAAATGGTTTAATGCAAGTTTGTGGCATTTAAATGGTTTCACGTTTAGCACAGAGCCTGTCCTCTTGTAAGCATTCAGAATGGTAGCCGTTATTATCAAGAATACCATCTTCACTTGATGTGATGTATATGTGCTCAGTGCAGTCATGTCCCACTCTTTGTGACCCCATGGACCATAGCCCGTCAGGCTCCTCTGTCCATGGGATTTCCCAGGCAAGAATACTGGAGTGGGCTGCCATTTCCTTCTCCAGGGGATCTTCCTGATCCAGGGATCAAACCCACATCTCTTGCATCTCCTGCATTAGCAGACTAGCACCACCCGGGAAACCCGTCTTCACTTAATTCTGTCCATTTATCAAAATGTTTGGTGCTGTTATATGTATAGTAAAAATGAGGGATGTTTGGCTACCTGTTTGGCTCATGACAATTTTTTCTTTTCCATGTGTGTAAGGAAATACATTACAGGTAAGGTGAAGGGATCTATGGCAGTTAACTGCTTCTCTGCCTTTAAAATATTCCAAGACTCAAAGGAGTTTTTCTTCCAAATTGATTCTATCATGGCATAACCATCATGAATATGAATGAACTGTTTCACAAAGGAATGCCTTTCATGAAAATAAGGTTCAGTTTCCAACCAAAATTCTCGTTAGAATGCAGGCCCATGCTTACTTTGTATAAGTTCATACAGTCAACAAATACACTAGACTGCTCTTCTGAGACACTAATGGGTCACCATGTGTTGTCACTGAGGCTTCAATGATGACTATGGCTCAGGAAGGCACCAGTGACAAATACAGCTAACGCCTCTTCCAGGCACTCATGGCCTTGGAGAGGAGAATTACAACATGCAGATAGCCAGTGAGTGGAGCACAGTGCGGTTAAGACAGAGGTTATACAAATTTACTGGTAGGACACAGAAGATAGTGATGGTGTCTGCCTTCTTAGGAACTGGAGAGGGGGAAATGAAAATCAGAAGTTGTGTATAAGCTGAGTCTTAGAAGTCATAGCTCATGCACTATTTCCTTAAAGAATTGGTAGAGAATTTCAAATTCCCAAAGTCTTTAACCTTGTCTTGTGTTTCTGTATTGGATAATATTTATTGTAGACAACATTATAACAAGCATTTACTGGAGACCAACATTATAATAAGAATTAATACTAATAATAATAATTGCTTACATTTATAAAGCCTGTACTTTACGTTTAGTATCCTTTATAAATCTTTTTGGAACAGGTTCACAATTTAATTATTTTAACTGCTATATTGAAGTAACATACAAACGTCTGCACATATTTAATGTATGTAATTTGATTAATTTGGACAAGTATTCTTTATCTTTTAATTTCACCATGGTCTTGTGAGAAAGGTGCTTTTCATCTGCATCCTTTAGATGAGGAAATGAAAACTTAAGGAAGTGAATTCATCTTCCCAGTATCACATGCTTACTAGTAAGAAGGGCTTACTACTAGTAGTAGTAGTGTTAGTCACTCAGTCTTGTCCAACTCTTTGCAATCCCACAGACTGTAGCCTGCCAGGCTCCTCTGTCCATGGGATTCTCTAAGCAAGAATACTGGAGTGGACTGCCATTCCCTTCTCCAGAGTATCTTCCTGACCCAGGGATCGCTATATGGATGCAAATTCAGGCAGTTCTGATTTTGGAGTCTCTAACTCTATCCATTTAAAATCCCATCACTTTATCAAACAGTGATTTTTGTTTGCCGCTGTTCTCTTGAAATCCTTTTCCATAAGTTTACATATTTTTTATAGAATTGTACTTAAAGTATAAATACAAATTTGGATGCCTTCACAAAGATTTTGAATATTTTTATAATTGTGAAAAAACCCACATCATTTTTATTATACTTATTGAATTGACTTTGTCTATATGAGCGCACTTCCCAGGTGGTGCTTGTGGTAGAGACATGCCTGCCAATGCAGAAGATGCAGGAGATGCAGGTTCAGTCTCTGGGTCAGGAAGATCCCCTGGAGAAGGAAATGGCAACCCACTCCAGTAATTTTGCCTGGAAAATCCCGTGGACAGAGGAGCCTGGTGGGCTACAGTCCATGAGGTCACAAAGAGATGATTAGCGACTGAGCACACACATATGATCTGTTAACATTCATAGATGTAAATAAGTTCAGTTCCTATTCACCTGGGGTCGCTCTAAACCACAATCTCAAAATACACTCATCAGATTGCTAAAAGAATCAAAGGAAGCTAATAGTCACATCAAGAGAAGTGATATTTCTTCTTTGCTCTGCTCTAGTTAGAACTTGCCTGGAAACCTGGCCAGCTTGGTTGCCACAATTTTCAAGGGACATTAATAAATTAGCAAGCCCTGTGAGGTTAGGGAGTGATGTAGCAATAAGGATCTAAAAACAGTATCATTTTGGGGCACTGAGGATGTTTTAACCTGGGGAAAAAATTGAAATGGGAGATCATAACTATTTTCAAATATTTGAAAGATGGTGATGCACAACAGAGACTAGCCTAAATTTGGGTGGGTTCAGAGGACAGAACAAGAAATAGGGGGCTGAAATGAGAGGGGTGCAGTCTGGGGATGAAAATCAAAAACACTCATCTAAAAAAAAAGAGAGTTGTCTAATAAGCTTTTAAAAATCAGTCTATTTCCCTAAGCTGTGAGCTGTGTGATTGCACTAATGTCCTAGGAGATGCTAGCTGTCACTCTATTTTATAAATTATACTTTTATATTTTAAATCATATTTAAAACATTTAGACATTTAAAACATTTAGACATTTATTTTCAGGTTTTTTCCCCTTTGAATTATTATGCATATTATGCAGTTATTGAATGTAGATATTGTTTAAAAGTACAGAGTGTATAAATTAGACACCCACCACAATGCCTCTTCCCCCACCAGCTCATGTCTACAGCTGGGGAGTGATGAAGGCATTCTAAATAGCAACCAAGTAAGCAAAGGCATTACTGTGGGACTCCGCCTTACTGTCTTCATTAGACTGGAAGCACCTTGAAGACAGGGGCTCCCATCCCAGTGTCCTCCCCAGGGCTGGCATTATGCTACTTGATGACTCAGATCAACAGACGCACTAGAAGGCAAAACAGGAACCAGCAGAAAACCTTGCACGTTAGTCTTGAATGGGTTGAATATTGTGCTGGCCAAAATGTTTGTTCTGCATTTTCAGTAACATCTTACAGAAAATCCCAAACAAACTTTTTGGCCAACCCAGTATTTTCAGCCATTCAGGGAGCTACATTGGCTGTAACCCAGCTCCTGTGATTCCCAACCATAGGATTAGGAGTGAGAACTGGAGGACTTTGCTATTTTCCTCATTAATTAGTATGCAAACGTTTCCAACTATGGTGATTTCCAAAAAAAATAAATAAATCTTAACCTGTGCTACTTGATTTTCACATGAGGCTCATGTTTATTCAAGAGGAAAATAAAGCTGAATCTTAAATTGAGTCAGGCTAACTGTTTTCTGGGCATGCCTACCATGATTTAACTCCCTATGGACATTGTGGAATTTCCTAACACTGTAAATATTAATTCAGTTAAAATAGATCCATAAATATACTAAAGAAAGAGGTCTTATATGTTCAAAACAAGGTAGAGCAAATGATGACATGTAGCATTTTATTCATCTTCATCAGAATAACAAGGCTACTTTTAATCGCCAGAGTGCAAATTATTTAAGTAAACGTGTGCCTGTGTTCAGTAGGCTTAACCTTCTCAAATATTCATCTCTCAGATATGGAAGTGAAGCAAATCAACAAGCGTGCCTCCGGCCAGGCTTTTGAGCTGATCTTAAAACCACCATCTCCCATCTCAGAAGCTCCACGAACTTTAGCTTCTCCCAAGAAGAAAGACCTGTCCCTGGAGGAGATCCAGAAAAAACTGGAGGCTGCAGAGGAAAGAAGAAAGGTAAGTTTTCCATAGGTCTTTTTGTTTGTTTTTTAAATTATGAAAGCATAATAACACATTTATAGGAGACTCGGGAAATAGAGGGCTTCCCTGGTGGCTCAGGCAGTTAAGAATCTGCCTGCAATGCAGGACACCCAGGTTCAATCCCTGGGTCAAGAAGATCCCCTGGAGAAGGGCATGGCTGCCTGCTCCAATATTCTTGCCTGGGAAATCTCATGGACAGAGGAGCCTGGAGGTTTATAGGCTGTTGGATCCCAAAGTGTTGGACACGACTGAGTGAACTTATTAACACTGAAAATACAGAACAAAGTTACATGTAGTTCTGCTGTCTATTACAATTACTTTTTAAGTAGATAAATTAAGATTTAGTTGGAGCTTCAATATCCACAGGTTTTTATATTCTGCTCTCCCTTCTTGCCTTCTCTCTCTTCTCTTTCCCTTCCCCGCCCCCTCCCTTTTTCACACACACACACACACACACACACACACACACACACACACACTTCTAGCAGAAGCTTCAAGAGACAATGATGCCTGAACCTGCACTATTCCAACACATGTAGGCCTTCCAGACATAGATCCAGACTAATTCAAGTAAAATCTGCTGCTTTGAGGGTAGTTAAAACCAAAGGTCTCAGACACCGAATTTCAATGCTTTAGTGCCCTTTTCCTATCTTGGGTCCCTTTTGATAAAAGCATCCCTGCCTTAGCCTATCCTCACTGTCAGGAAAGCACAGCCTTAGATAAGGTGCCTCCAGGGGTTGCATGGGGTGAGGGGCCAAAGTGGTGAGCCCTCCCTCTTGGAGTCTGCATGGTGGATGGTTTTCCTCAGAAATAAAACGTACCAGATACCCCCGCTGAGATGTTTCCTGCCCAGAAATGCTGTTCACCCCAGGGGCTTGCCCCTGTCCCCTAGGCTAGGACAGCCCCTGTCCTTGAAGTTGGTTCATCCGAGATCAGTACCCTCTCTGGAATCTATGAGTATCTTCTTGCACTCATATCTAAGCCTTGATGGCATTTTTTTCTCTTTTTTCCATTGGTCTTTATTTGTATCCAAGAGCTTTTTCTTACAGAACTAAATCTTTAATTTTCCACAATCCGCTGAATAAAAAAAGCCAAGGGTATTAAAAATGGAAGACATTCAGAAACCCCAAGGACTATGTACATAGAGACGGAAATTATGCTTGAATACGGGTGGACCAGTTTTGTGATTATGGAAGTCCATCCCATCAAGATGCTCTTGATTAATTCAAATGAAATTACTATGTTGTACTTTTCACTGACTTTTCATGGTACATTTTTAGAACCTCATCACCAAGAATATGGTACATTCATGACCTTATGATGTGACTGGGAATGGCATTTATAATAATTTTAAATTTCATTTAGATGTTTGTAAAAAGTCAGCCAATAAATTAAACACTTCTGTGTTGGATACCTACAAAGCAAATGAAGATAGCACTTTTCCTAAAACCTGAATTCTCTAACAGGGAGTACAGAGCAAATCCAAATGTGTGTGTGTGTTTGTGTGCTTATATATACCTACATATACACACAATCACACAAATGCACACACCTGTGCATGTGTGCTAAGTTGCTTCAGTTGTATCAGACCCTTTGAGACTCTATCGACTATAGCCATCCGGGCTCCTCTGTCCATGGAGTTCTCCAGGCAGGAGTATGGAGTGGGTTGCCATATATCATCAAATAATAAGACTTAAAGATTGCAAATCCTTGATTAAATTTACTGAACCCAAAACTACTTTTTGTCTTAACCTTTATAGTTGGAAAGTCTTCCTATATTGCATCAATCCTGATCACAGTTTCAGTTTTTACTCGTGAAGTTCTCTTAACATCCAATGAGTATTTTACATATTATTTATCGTATTTGACCAATTGCTGTTGTTATACAGCTGGATTTCAAAAGGAGGAAACTAAGCTACTAACCCAAATGTATATATCCAGGAAGTTGTTTTAGAAAAATTTATCAGACTTTTTGCTGTCATTTATAACTTTGTTCTCACAGTAAAACTGAATTAAAGTATTGAGTTGCAGTCCTTCAAGACTGTCTCCAACAGATATTAATAACTAACTACAGTAGTAGAGAACATGTTACAGTAAAGGTAATTTAAAGTTCTCCAAAGCATTGGCATCTTATAGGTAACAGGTATAGTTATAGGATATAGGTTGAAATATAGGGATGCTATGACTTGATTAGAATTCAAAGTCACTCACTGAGCTGAAATTGAAAATTAGAGATGAAAATTCAACATCATGGTTTAAGGTGTTGCTGGCATATTTAATTAGAAGGAAAATATTAAAAGAAAAATAACACAGAGATGACCAAAATTAACTGGATATTCTCATAAAATTCCCTGAGTTAAGTAATTACTGCTTATGGTAAAATTCATGTACCCTGATGATAATAAATTATCAACACTTTTACATTTAAATAATTAAATTGAACTAGAAATTGGCTGAGTGACTAGAAGACATCTACAAATGTAATCTTTCAACATTGTGACACCCAGGAAAAATGTTCTTTGGAACCCTTTAAACATCAGTATTCCTTCACGTTTCTGCTCTTATTAAAATTTGCAAGGCAAAAAATTATTATATAGATCATATCCTGGTAATGGAAATTAGAAGAAAATGTAACTAATAAACAGAAAGTGCCAACTTAAGAAATCACTAATTGATTTTTTTTTCTATTGGGTTGTGCTGACTTAATTAGCACTCATTTGAAGAACTTCTAATTCTCTTCAAAAAGCAAATGCATATATCTCAGTAACTAAGATCAAACATATAACCAAACACCAATTAGCCAAAGCAGAAGAGAGTATGGGACTAAAAACCAGCTTGATCCAGGAGATTGATATTTCTTTTTACATTTTTCTTTTCTTTCTGCAACTAATTGGTTTCAATATCAAGGAATTTTTGTTTCAGTCAGTCCCAAATTATTTTTCTCACAAATCAGCAACTCCAGCAGAAAGAGAGCTTTCCTTATAGTTCTAACAAAAGTTATAGAACTGAGTCTCAGTGACCTGTCTTGGGTCACATGCCCAAGCCAATAAGGTGGTACTAAATAATGGAGGACAGAGGGGAATTGTAGTTCTGTGGTGAAAAGTGCTCTTCATATGAGGTGGTCAGAAAAGGCCTCTTGAATATGAGAACATTTGAAAGGAAGCATGAAGGGAGTGAGGGAGAACATTTGAAAAAAGGCAGGAAGGTAAGGAATAGACCACATGACTCTTCTCTGGGGGCAGAATTTGAAGTAAAGAGAAGAGCAAGTGCAAAGGTTCTGAGGTAGCAATCTGCTAGGACTGTTCTGGAAATAACACAGAGGACAGAATGCAGAGCAGAAGGAGCAAGGGGAGATGGTAGAAATTGAGGTCAGAAGGTAGCATTTTTAAAGACTGACTTCAAATGAAAAAGGAGGTCATTAGAAAGATAAAAACCAGTTCATTCCTTGTGAATCACAGCATCTTTACAGAGAAATGTCTACTTTTAAAACCTGAGTGACTAGAAAAATAGTTTTAGAGAAGACATGAAAGCATTCTAAATGTAAAGAATGGTTCCAGAACTAAGGATACCCAGAGGTGAGAGTGCAGAACGTCTGTTTTCAGGGCAGTGGGTAGACCTAATAGTTTGAGCTAGTGGACTTGGGTTAGGAGTCGGAGAGTAGTGAGGTGAGATTGTGGAGGGCCTTGAATGCCAAGTTAGGTGCTCAAACTCCATTGTATCTGAGAAATGAGGAGTCACTGAAAGCTTTCAAAAATACACAGATGTCCAACCAGCTAGTGACCAGCAACATTTGTTTTGCCCTAGTTCATTTCCCTTCCTACAAGCTAAAAGTTTGTAAAGATTCCACCGGCCAAACAGGACGTTTAAATAGGTATTAAACAATTCCTTTTGTCATGGTTATGATCAAAGCGATCTATCAGTTCAGTTCAGTCACTCAGTCATGTCCGACTCTTTGTGACCCCGTGAACTGCAGCACACCAGGCTTCCTTGTCCATCAACAATTCCCAGAGCTTGCTCAAACTTATGTCCATCGAGTCGGTGATGCCATCCAACCATCTCATCCTCTGTTGTCCCCTTCTCCTCCTGCCTTCAATCTATAACTACCAATTAATATTACTGAATATCATAAAATAAGCATTAACTCACTACACTGACATAATTCTATCTCAAAGTAAATATAGACACAAAGGTGAAATATGATTTTTGATACGGCCTTTAAAACAAAAAGGCTATGAGACCCCTCTCCCTCCACTGGGCTTCCTTGGTGGCTCAGATAGTAAAGAATCTGCCTGCAGGAGACCCAGATTTGATCCCTGGGTGGAGAAGGTCTCCAACCCACTCCAATAATCTTGCCTGGAAAATCCCATGGACAAAGGAGCCTGGAAAGTTATAGTCCATGGGGTCACGAAGAGTTGGACACAACTGATCTATTAATATTGATACTCAATGGTACTCCCCCTCCATTGGCACTCTTGAAAGATTTGCTCCTGGGACCTGAGTCAAGGGATCGCATCTGGGAAGCGGTGACCTAGGCTGTGCTTCTGGAGACTGCTGGATTTAGAGCTGGAGGGCTGCCTCTGGGGCATCTCCCTGTGGGCTTAAATTCACTTTGTGTTCAATGCTTTGGCAGTTTCCCCAACTCCTCCCTCCATCTGTTGATAATATGGCAGCACTGACCATCTGGACACTACATTACACACTCCTTCCATCAGGTTCCTCTGAACCAGAATTAATGCTCCATTTGTGAGCTGATAGAAGGTTATTATAAAGGGAAGAAGTCCTTTTCCTGATTTTTTTCTTCCTTCTTTGATTATCTCTGAGAATCAGTCTTCATCTCCATCAGACCACATTACCTCACGAAGTCAACATAAAGCTCATTATTTGAAGTTAAATATTCCATCCAGCAGCTTACCCAGATGGATGAAATTATATGAACACTTCAGTCATCCATCCATCCATCCATTTATTTATTTACA